TTTTCACGATAACTGAGGTCTAGGGGCTATTTAACTACCATATAAGTTTCAAAACAGTCAGTCCACAGTAAAATGAACACAGCCTGCATAAAGTAGCTGTGATTTTTCACAACCGTTGTGACTTCCGTAAAAAGTTGACCGGCTCTCAACGGCTCTAGCCCAAGCTGTGATATAATCGAACACTATTGGCTATTTTAAAAAGGGGCGGCGCTGCTTGATATGTCCCGCCCTGTCTTCCTGTTTCAGTTAAGATGACGTCAACACAGAGTAACGCTGCATGTTTCTAAGCATTTCAGGGGACCTTTAAGCTCCTTATGTAGCCGAATCTGCACTGGTTTGAATGGGCCGCCTCCAGTTTCCCCTTTGTTTTGCTTCCTCCAGCTAGCGCTGTGACGTCGGCTGACTCTAGTTACCTGTGGTTGGCCTGGCCGTGCATCACTCAGAAAACAACAGGCCAATTAGAAGAGAGGCTCATGAATATTAATTAGACAGGCCAAAATCGACTTGTTTTAAGCAGAGCTCCTGAGAGAGGAGCTGTAAAAATATATTGATACCGCAAATACATATTCTTAAGGACATCCAGACTTAAAATAAAACTCAAGAAAGGTGTAAAATATGTGACCTTTAAGGTTTCTTGGCTGTTGTTTGGCAACTCGAAGTTTCAACTCCCTCCACAGATTTTCTATAGGATTGAGGTCTGGAGACTGGCTAGGCCACTCCATGACCTTAATGTGCTTCTTCTTGAGAAGATTTTACAGTACATTGTCCCGTCCATTTGCCCCTCAATGCGGTGAAGTCGTCCTGTACCCTTAGCAGAAAAACAGCTCTAAAGCATAATGTCTCCACCTCCGTGCAGGGATGGTGTTCTTGGGGTCATAGTCAGCATTTCTCTCCCTCCAAACACGGCGAGTCGAGTTGATGCCAAAGAGCTCAATTTTGGTTTCATCTGACCACAGCACTTTCTCCCAAGCCTTCTCTGAATCATTTAGATGTTCTTTGGCAAACTTTAAACTAGTGGTAGTTTTTCAAATATCGGCATCGGCGATACGTTTTTCTGTTTGGCCGATGTGTTCGAGGCGGGACTTTTATTTTGACGGCGCGGCAGACTTTTATTTTGACGGCGCTGAGAACGGCAGCGCCGGAGCACGCTCACAATCTCCCTCTTGTTCGCTGTTGTCGTTCAGTTCTGTCTAATATGGATAGAAGTCTATCTAATAATCAGATAGAACTGTTAAACAAAGGAATATAATACTGATTTCCCGCTAGAAGTAACATCAAAAGTTGGTCAGAATCACACAAAAACTCCACAAAATGCAACTTTCAGACACCATCTTTATTTTTAAGCTCAACTTTTATGGAACTGAACACACAGGATTGTGGGATATCAAAGGCAGTGAAGGATACGTCTATGCTGCCTTCAAAAATCGATCAGATGAGGGCATCTCAGGAGACAGGAAGTGAATCTGACATTAGATTCGGATGTGCCTTGATGCCTTCCAACCTTGGAATGCATCCTCCTCAGGCAACATTGTTTAGTCTTTGGACGCAGCCACAGTCTTTAATACAAAAAGCAGAAAGTTCTGGTGTTCAATTACAGTTAATTCGTTGGTTGGCTGCTTGCTATTTAAACACTTTTTTCATGTTGTTCATGCGTTGGAAATCACAGGTGTGCTCAATTTTGTTTCAGTGATTACAGGTTTTCCAACTTGTGTGTCAGTGATAACAATAGGTTACTGTCGTAACCCCGGTTCTCTGAAACATCGAGTGGAGAGATCCACCTATGGGAAGGGCATCCGTACCTGACCTCTGCAGAAGCATCCAATTGCACCAAGTCTGGCTAGACAGACAGAAGCGCGCAGCCAATGCCAGGTAAGGCCCCACCCCCTTACCTGAGAGCATATAAGGCCTGCACGCGACGCTATTCTCCAGTAAGTATATTCGCTTCTCGTGCGGCAAGCGGGGCAAAGCTGGTGGATCTCTCCACTCGATGTTTCAGAGAACCGGGGTTACGACAGTAACTTATTGCTCTCTTTCATCATCTCGTGTTCAAGATCCACCTATGGGAGAGACATGGACAGCTCCCCGATTGCCCAATACACTCACAGTGAGGTTCTGTAAACCAGAGAAGGACGGTCACCCCAAGGGGGCGGTGCCTGACACGTCCCATAATCATGCACCTGACAATCCTGACACACACACACATGACTGCTGTGCACAGGCAGGACATGAAACATGTATGAGGCCCACACATGTAAATAAATCCAGCAACACATATGAAACATCCAGGCAGGAAAATAAATGCATGCTTGGTGACACGAATGTGCGTGGCCCGACGGCCCACTCACCCTTCGTTCCTTTACTACAATGTTTAAATGGGAAGGAAGAGAGGAAGGTAACAAGGAGCTATGAAGGCCCCACCCCTAAAACAGAATGTGCTACCGAAGTTTTGATGACATCCAGTCGGTAGTAACGCACAAACGGATGGGGAGAGGCCCAGCTGGCAGCAGAGCAGATGTTCTGCAACGACACTCCCCTGAACAAGGCCCAAGAGGCGGCTAAGCTCCTCGTGGAATGAGCTCTGATGTTCCCTGGGGGCTGCACACCCAACGATTCATATGCCAAAGCAATAGCTTCCATAAGCCAATGCGAAAGGCGTTGCTTAGATATGGGACTCCTCCTGTGCACCCCCGCCCATGAAATAAAGAGCTGGTCGCTCCTCCGGAAAGCACTGGTCCTAGTCATATACGTCTGTAATGCACGAACTGGACACAGAGCATTCAGCCTCTGATCCTCAGTGGAAGAAAAAGGTGGAG